CCAACAATCTCAGTTGATAATCTACACTACCATTTATAAAATACCACTTAATCCTTTTGCAAGTCATATTACTAAAAAAAATTCCAGTAATTCTATTTCCTTTTTTTTTTTATTAAATGAAAATTAACATTACAAAAAATATGCTTTATTGTTTTGATATTGAAGGTGACAAGATAACTCATTCATCAAAGATTTCTGCCATTGCTACCATCTATGGTATGATACTGCACTCAAATAACAATGTAAACCAAAAGTCACCGTGTTCTTTAATCTGTTTGGTTGAAAAACATGATCGAATGCTATTCGATTCCAGGAAATTGCAAGACTATTCACTGCGTATTGACACGTACAAATACCGCGTGTCAATACGATCGCAATTGTATTGTTGCGTCGTCAGCAGAGGTGACGTCATTCAAATCATATTGTGACGTAAAGTCGGAATGACGTCACAAATGAGCAGTTCCAGATGCTATTATGGGAACCAGCTGAGCGGCCAGCTCATGACACTTCACTGCTGTACCCGTACTCAATGTCAATGAGTGCAGACAGTAAAACCCATGGTTTACTTTTGTGCTTCAATGTTGAAGCACGGGAATATTTCATTTGAAACCTCCGGCTAACGCCGTCGGTTCTTAATGAATTCCTGTGCTTAAAATACTGAATAACACCCAGAAATCGGCCAACACATGATGTTTATCTCCTAAATGAAGTGTTATCTATTCTGAGACTGTTTCCGACCATAGCCATCAGATATCATGCAGATAATATGGTACGGTAACCTTTTAATGAAGTTTGACTTGGTTATATGTACAAGACCTTTGAGGCATGTTAAAGGAGCTTGTTTATCTTTTTGAAACAATTGATACATTTGAAATGCATGTTATTATATTTTTTACTTTTAGATTTAATCTAAAAAGATCCTAACGTGTTAATATTTAGGATTCATTCAACTTGACATTTACAACGTGTTTTACGTGTTTGATTTCCTAATCTAACCTAATCTAAAAGAAACATTTTTAATTTTGAAAATTAAAGAATACATTATGAAATAGTGATATGACATCAAATTTTAAAACTTATTTTATCTCAGGGTTTGCATCTCTCTCTCTTGCCTCGACCCATAGTGGAACGACTATAAACTTTTCCCTTTGCCTCTCTTTCCCATCGCCTTTCCCATCGCCCGTGTATTCATTCCATGCTACTCTCGCTATGCATCACTTACCACATTCCATACGAAGCATGCAGCATGCTCCCCAGCAACCCACGTGACCTCTGCTCTCACATCATTCTCATTTTCGTCAGAAATGGGTCCTTTGGCTAAGAAACCTCGCCTACATCGTCCTACTTTGGTTGCAAAGTGGTCGAAATCTCCTCCCTAGGGAGGGGAGGATTTTGTGGGCGCTTTGTCGGACTCTCGGAGTATTTTAGTCTAGTCAAATTTCTAAGAAATGTGGATTTTAAGGATGCATGAGGCATTTTTGAGTAAAAACAAGCAAACAACATTTTCTAGGGTAGTTTTTCGTGCTGAATACGAATCTGTTGTCTGCTAAGCTCAAGTTTAGTACAAGCTCGATCCTTCAGTCATAGCACATGGCTTGTATGCATTTATTTTCCAGTTTTCTTCATACTACGTATTTGACACATTATTGGATAGGCTTCCCACCTGTTCCTGTGATTTCCTGAACTGTTCTGTGGGTAATTATGTTGCTAAAATCATTAATCAAACTCACTGCATGAATGAAAGCAGTTTCATTTGCCATGCAGGTGAGGCAGTATAAAAGCATTCGTGTGGCATACATGTAAAAACGCCTATCCCATCCTGTCACACTCATTAACCTTTGAAGTAATTATGCGCTTTAAATGCAAATTTTGTGATCTAAACAGTTTGCCTGGAATATAATTCTGTCAACAAAAGGAAAAGATTTAGCCTTGCTTTGCATTTTTGAGCAAAAATGCTTGTAAAAAGTAGCTCTTCACGCAGAAACAAAAAGTCGTTCCGTAAGGGAGATATTTGCCTTAATACGAATTTTTCCTTCAGCACTTCCATGAAATCCAACATTTTGAAATCCTGTGGCAACATTATTAATCAACATATTGTAAAATGAGTTCATTGTATGGATTGAGAATGATACATAAAACACTTCTAAAAAAAAAAGAATTTTGCATTCATTGACCTTTGACTCCAATTTGTGACCTAATTAGGCAAACAACAGATTCGTATTCAGCACGAAAAACTACCCTAGAAAATGTTTGCTTGCGTTTACTCAAAAATGCCTCATGCATTCACATTTCTGAGAAATTAGACTAGTCTATTTGGGGAAATTGTTGGGTACTCACTCGCCTCCCATTAAGACGAGAGCTTCTAGGGTAGAGATTGAACAAACGTCCATCCCTGTGACTGCTGAAGCCCCTCAGGACCTTCGGATGACTTTATCTTCCTCCCGATCTCCTCCTTCATCCCAGCCGTCGGGAGATTAGAAACCTGGGCATGTGTAGCTTGCCCGTTACTCCCTTTACGAGTAGGACACAGTTGACAGTTGCTGCTTGCCAGGGAGCATCTGGACAGTCTAGATCGCCAAATCGATCCTCTCATAGCCTCTCATTCGTCAAACGTCTGATCGTTCTCATCACGATAGTTCGTCAGATCAAGCTGAACTGCTGCGTACCAGCCAAACTCATTCATCTCGTTGAACCGTTCGTCAGATCGTCCTGTTTCCTGCAATGGCTCGCCTAACTTATCTGAGTATAATCGCTGAACTGGTTTGCCACGACAATTCTTCAGCACGGAATGGCTCTCTTCGTCAAACTAGTTCGTCAGGATCAAACCAGTTCACTACACCATCATCGAACTAGTTCGTCAAGCCGAACCAGTTCCCCAAACCATCCCCGGATGAGTTCATCAGACTGAACCAAGTTGCCAAACCTTCGCTGAACTAGTTTGGCAGACCAATTTGAACCTTATCATCGAACAAGTTCGTCAGGCCGAACCAGTCAACCACACCATCCCCTAACTACTTCGTCAGGCCGACCCATTTCACCACACCTTACACAAACTAGTTCACCAGGCCAGGCCGAACAAGTTCACCACACCTTACACAAACTAGTTCACCAGGCCAGGTCGAACCAGTTCACCACACCTTACACAAACTAGTTCACCAGGCCAGGCCGAACCAGTTCACCACACCTTACACAAACTATTTCACCAGGCCAGGCCGAACCAGTTCACCACACCTTACACAAACTAGTTCACCAGGCCAGGCCGACCCAGTTCACCACACCTTACACAAACTAGTTCACCTGGCCAGGCTGAACCAGTTTGCCGCAACTTCACTGAACTAGTTTGCCAGAACCCATTCGCCGAACTAGTTCAGTAGATCGATCTACTTCGCCAAGATCTTCTCAACCACATTACCGAACTGGTTCAACAGACAGTTCTGTTCTATCTCGGTCCTCTGAGCCGAATTACTGAACGGTTCGCCACAGTTTCACCAAACTAACTTGTCATCTTGAACCAGTTCACCTCGGTATCACCCGTCCAGTTTGTGGTTATTCTTACTGAACTACAGCCACTCGAACTGATTCATCAGCACCGTTCTAGTTCGTCTGGTCGATCGCATTCACTGTGACCTACAGGTTCTACGGATACAACCGAGTTACCTGGAACTAGTTCATCCATCATTACCTAACCGCATCTCCGAACTGGTTCACTGGATGCTTCTGCGGTTCGAAACACCACTGGAATTTTGCACTGAGGCAATTCGTCTAGATATTCGCCTCATATCAACACTTTAGTTCAACTGACCGTTTGGAGTCTTATGGAACATTGTCACCTAGGCATTCTAGGTATCGTTCTCATTCTCGCACCCCTCACCTGACTGGTTCTGCAGAGCATCCTGACCCAACTGTTATGACTGGTTCCCGATCATCAATTCATCTGTCTTGGCCGGTCTCCATCTCCTACGAGGCGTCGCTTTGGTTCATTAGATCAACGCTCCCCTGTGCAGTGCCCATCTACTTCTGCTCCGGTGGCTTCAGTGTCATCTCAGATTAAACCCGAGCCTTGGACTCCCTCTCAGGACACTGAACCCACGCCAGATCTTGATATGATGTTAAGGGCGGTTACTACCAACCGTCTTCTTCAGCTCAACTGCTGGCTACTCCCTCTTCGGCTAGATCTGCTGAGCACATGGTGCGTTTTTTTAATGACCATTCTCCAGGTCATTCTCAAGTCTCCACACCCGAGGGCAGTTTTGATCTGGCAGAACCTGTTCTCGCATGGGTTGCTGAGAAACTTCATTGTCCTTCATTAGTCCTACTTTCTTCGGGGCAGTGATCTGACTTCCCTTACCCTTCTCCCCGTCAATGTATTCTTCAGACGGCTACTACATTAGACCGGGCCTTCAAAGCTCTAAAGCGGACTAGGGATGGTCTTTCTTCACCAAGATTTCTACCGGCTACTTCACATGGGCATAGTCTTACCTCATTGCAATAAGACTATGATTGACTATCCATTAAACTTGTTTTTTCTTCATTTATACAACTTCTAAAATGCCTTTGAAAGGAATGGTCTTACCTCCATCTTCACAGCTCCACCTGTGGATGAGAACATTTCCACCTTGTGTGGCAAACGTAACAGTTCTTTCTTCATGGTGGAGCGAGTGAGTGAGTTAAAATTTATAGTCACATTGGCAATATTTCAGCCATATTGTGTCTAAAACAGTTAATATGATAACAATAAATAATAAAAAATCTGTCGACAAGGGACACTAAAACATCTAGAACATCACAATTTGAGGTATTAAAACTAGCATTTAACTTCAAAATATATGACTATTAGGGACAATACAAAATAAAAATGGACGAGAGATCCCAAACAACTGAAGTTAGAGCATGCTTCCTTTGTCTTCGACCATACTATAACCATCCGATGTGGCTGTTACAACACGGACCGAACTACTTTCTCAAATGAAAAGAACAATTTCGACTATAATTTCTTTTTACTACTTTTTAATGACAACAGACACTGAAATCGCGACGCGATCGTCCGTCACACTTTGCGAGACTGCAGGCGTTGTAGTGGTAGCTACGTTGACACTGGAGTCAGCAGTTCGTCGTCTTTTAGGGAGTTCACCGCCACCTTGGATCACGTTGCTCAGTTCTTTCTCCTGAGCTGTACTAACTCGATTGTACTCTCTCACAGCGGTACTCCGATGTCCCGTTGTTCTGGTGATTAGTTGTTCATCAATGCCTGACTGAAAGAGTCGAGTGGCGCATGTGGCTCTGAGTGAGTGATTGCTGTAAAAACCTGCAATAAGACAATTTACATTATTGCTAGTCTAACAAAGTAAGGAATATGGCTATATGTTCAACGCTTTTCAATACCGCCCCTTTGAACAGTCATACAGAAGCCTTGTCAAATTACGCTTACAGTACAAGGGCAGCCTCAATCAGAAATATGGTCACGCCATACTGTGAAACCCAAAACCACCACATTCACAAGTTTAATGAAAAGTTAAAAAGGTAAAACTTACCTTCAAAGCCTGCTTGTTTACACATCTTGCCAACTGTCTGCTGCAGAGTGTGTTTTCCAACAACCTGCTGACTGTACCACTGACCATCTCTGGGCTTCACCAGTGGTCGCAAATACATGACACGGGAGTTGGTCGGACGCAGACTACAGTACTTTCTGAATATTGCAACTACACACTTGTTACGATCGTCACTGGCGTATGCACGAACACACTTTGGAGGAACACCAAAATCCTTAAGTCCACGCTGGTAACACTTACTAGTCTTCTCAGAATAAAGAAGAAATTCTCCAGTGTCATCCTTGTCAATTTCGAATTGGTCAACTGTAAGATTCCTGTGCTCATCGCCGCTTCTGAGTGCAAAATTTAATCAAATGAGGTACAGCATTGTATCCTTAAGAACCTGTGGTGACGAAACTCCCAAGATGCCTATATCTCACATAGTTGTCTCTTGTTCATAGGAAATGACCTTGGCCTTTTTGGTACGAATTCCATTCGATCCTTCTTTTATTACACTGTCCAATATATTTCGCAGTTCGAGAAAAACGTTATCCGACAGGAATTTCAAATCCCTACCACACTTCGTCAAATGCATGTTCAATTACAGCACAAACTGCCGGAGAGTTTTTGGATTATATTCAGATCCATCGCTTTTGCACACCTCTCATACAAAACGACACAGAGTAATTAAGTTCATCGTCGTTCAGATCCTCGAGTTTATGAGCTATTAAACTTAAACGCTGTCCGGATGTTTCCCCTCGTAAAATTCTCTGATTACGTGAATTTCTCTAAGTTTCAAAAAGACCACAGGCCCGACGTAAATTCTGTTTGGTACTTTGAGGCACACTTGTCTTGCATAATCCTGCAATTTCAGAATCCAACAACGGTACAGTAAATCTTTCATGATCACTATGCTTCCCACTACCGCCGCCAAACATATTCTCACTCACGTGGACTTCTTCCTCCACGTCACTAATATCGCTGTAATGTTGCTGAAGAAGATCCCTTTCCTCCACAGTTTCCAGTGCTGTGCATAGAATTTCATCATCTTCAGATTTTTCACTTATTGTCAAAAACTCACACTGTGAAGCTGGAATCAACGTATCGTCGCTGTTGGTCCCACTCATACCTGCTGCGTAATGAAGAGACATGTGCGCGGAGACCATGTGTTTGTAAAGGTGAGATTTCCGAAAAGCACGTGCTTTACGTCCTCGGTTCATTAACCATCCTTGATGGGGGCCCGGAATGAAATCCTATGTACCCCTGAAGCTGATTAATCAAAGAGCATCGGGCCGTTTTCTCAAGACGACCTTCGTTAACTGGTAAAGACATAATGGCGTTGATTTAACGACGATAGCGACTGTATGGGCCTTTAGGTAGAATGCACAATATAACACACGTGCAGTTCATGACATAACTCGACCGTACCACAACCTTGCCTGCGCTTAAAAAACTATAGTCCATTCATTAAATTACAGACGCGTACCATATAAATATTATTCTTTTATTTTATTAAAAGCAATATTTGTGTGCATGCTCTAAGTAGGTTAGAAGACGAGGACGCGTTCTGTAACCGTGGATTAAAGGCGGTTAGAGCCCTCTCTGCGCCTCGGCTCTAACCGCCTTAATCCATGGTTACAGAACGCGTCCTCGTCTTCTAACCTATACGGAGATCAGCATACTAGGGACCATGGGGACTTACAGTACCTTTGCTACCTGCATGGACCCAAGCTGGATTTACACCATCCCTTCAGCCACTGGCGATTGTAGGAACATTTAGCCATGATTTAAAATCACAAAGATACTACGGTCTAAAAAACTAGTAAATTTAAATTTCCTTTGAAAGTATCGGGACTTACGTACCTTCTCAGGAGGACCTTTATGGTAGAAGATAGGGAACTAGCCCATATGGATGCTGCCATTCATCGGATTTTGCCTTCTATCAACTGTGCCCTTTCAGTGACCAGGATGCATACATTCGCGAATGTATATCTCTCATATTAGAGCAATTTCAGACTATTCTTGATCAGATATCACATGTCCTTGGTTACACACTCACTGTCCGCCGCTGGGGTCCACTTAATATCTCGTCATGGGATGAGATGGTTGTCTAAACAGTTGGTCAATTCTGGACGACCTGTTTGTCTGACTGACTGACTGACTGAATTTAGTTTTATGCCGCTTTTAGCAATATTCCAGCAATATCACGGCGGGGGACACCAGAAATGGGCTTAACACATTGTGCCCATGTGGGGACGACCTGTTTGTGACAAGGATAGTAAGCAGGTTGGGGATACCCCCTATCTAGTGTATATGGACCCATCCTGGGTATTACACCCCAACTAAGTGAATAAACGCGCCCTATCGAGCCCATAACAACGGCAATCTCACTATCCGCGGCGCTCACACGGAACGTCGCAGTATGGTGAGGTTATTTTTGCTTAGTACGGTATTCCTTGTAACCATACCGCATGCATCAACAGTCCCACATTGCCTCCATCAGCGCTATGCTATCGGTAAACACGACCACTATCACAACATTCTGAATCAAAAATGGCCCTAGTTCCAGCAGTATTGACAATACAGCAAACATTTTTAACACAAACATCGCCCTCATCCCCTGCAACACACCACGTACCTCACCATGGGTCGTCCTCGTTGCTATCCAGTAATGGCGGCTGCTGACTGCACGTCATCACTCAAAGTACACAAATCTACGGAGGGCAAAAGGGACATATTCCATTTTCGCCAAGGGACATAACTCTTGCAATGACATTGATGATTTTATGCTAAAAAACACTTCACAATGTAACAATGACACCGACAGAGGTTCTGAAGCTCAAAAATCACCTAGCAAACCAGTACTTACACATGTCATTGCTGCTCACACATGACATACATGTCATAGACCACAAACACAAGTGCACACAACTAATAAGTAAGTTATGCCATAGAGTAATGGCTACTAATGATCGTAATATACTCTACAAATTCTCATGTATATCAAATTATATTGATTGATATGAAACCTGTATAAATTAAAGGATGAAATCTGTCATTCAGGAAATTAAAATCAAATTGTTGGGGAAAACGAGGAGAAATAAATGGTCCAAAGGGGATGAGACAGCACCCTCCCGAAAAAAGGGTCTGCATCACACTGGACCCAGAGGCCAAAACTACATGCCAGATGCATCGGACCGCTCCAAAAGCTTCCACAAAAGAAAAGCGACATTAATAAAAATGGTTTGTCTGATTTGTCATAACGTAATTTCATGCTAACATACTGACTTGTATTGAGTAGAAAATCGTAAGCTACCTTCTTCAGATACGATTTGTTCTTCAATTGCCTCCACTAGTTCACCAATGAAAGCGAGGATCCCGGTCTTATTTCCCCGTCTGACATCCTTCCACTTCTTACTCCATTCATTGTCCATCTTGTAAGGACATAATTGTTGGAAACTGACTTATTCATGGAAATGATTTCATGGAAATACATTGTTAACATGCATCACCATCAATGCAGCTATCACAATCACAATAGGTGCACTTACATAGGGGGAAAAACTTACATTAATATTCAGTATGTAATGCAATAACAACATTCATCTATCAACCATTATTAAGTAACTTACGTCATTCTGTTGTAGCTTTAACTCTACCAAACTGATCAGTTCATCTTTGGTTTTACAGTCTAATTTGTCTTTCCCCTGCCTTTCCTCTGGTGTGATGTATATGCGCATCAAGGGCCTGCCTCTGCGACTGAAATCTCCAGTCAAACCCATACTTCTGTAAACACCATACAACATATATCCCTGCTGAGCATTTGTGTAGTTATACCACCCTATCATCCTGTTTCTATAAAGCTACACATTTCAATATGAGGAAAATTATCACATTACATTATTGCTTTGTGTAATGGGTCCCATTATTACTTGCATATGCAATGGTAATTACATGTTCCAACATATGTCATTCCTGATGATTTTAGCTCATTTGAAGTAAATGTATCATTGACCCAAAACCAATATATGAATATACCTGTATAAAGCTCTGTTTTGCTAACACAAATCCACACAGTGAACTAATTCCTTGTCCAGAAGCATGGTTGGATCAAGACCTATAATTCACAAACATTACTGAAATTCATTTCCTGTATGAAAAGCGATAATATGTACTAAATGTATAATGAACTAAAGACGTGTTGTAAATGATTTGTATTGACTTCCAACGTAAGATATAATAACCGTATATTACACGTGGACCATATAAACCATATTGACAATTACGTATACTAATGGTCATATCATCCTGTATACTATTACCTGTATGAATGCCATCTTTGAGTGGGTCAGCCAAATACTTCATGGATCGCAACCAACAACGCCATCCCATGATTTCGGGGGCCATAGTCCTTGTTGTCATGGTCGAAAAGGAATCTACGTCGTGGATTCCTATCTCCTTGTAGACAGTTTCCCGCATCTACATGGAAAATAGTACTTTAAATAAGAATTGAGATCCTATTCCCACTTATATATTTATCCTTGCAACATACAATAACTAATATATTGAGCATATTCTGTCCTCAGAAACAAAATGACCATTCATTTTATAGAGGGAACAATTTGTGACAGTGACTGGGGCCGAAATCTATTTTGAATTTTGCGCAGAAGGTGGAGGAGCTCACAACTACTTGGCTACCCCAATGTTCCAAGAAAAATATGGGGTATGTATGTGTAATAAATAAATGTAAGGTTGTTTAAGTATAACAATTGAGCAATACACATATATCATACTTATATCATTTGCTATAATTACAGGAACCAGAAGGAGCGCAGCCGTTACACACAAAAAGTGTAACCATCCCTCCCCCTACCCACATAATACACCAGTCGAACCCAACGCCTCCTGAAACAACGGCTACAACTGAAGAAGTGCCACAAATCCAGGAACCAATTGTGGAGAATCCGCAAACATCATCTTCGAAGGAAGGGAATACAAACAGTACAAGTCGGTGTAGAAAGTCGGTTCAGAAAAGGAAAGATGAGAAAAGTGACATTTATAAGTGCCCGTTGTGTCATGTAGAATATGGCACATCCGACCCACGCCTCAGAGGTGGATAGGGTGTGACCATGAGAGTGACACAACGTGCACTTATTGGTGTCATATTTCATGTATGGGCATCCACATATCATCATCCAGGAACTTAAAACCATTGAAAATGTACTGTCCAACTCACAATTCATTAAACATGAAGAAATGAAACTAAATGGTGTTATATTGATTCATTCTGATATCAGTTTATGGGAGATGTATAAAATAACCCCTTACTCTGTTAGTTTGGTCTCGACTTGTGTTGATTTGTAATGCGAAATTAGGACATGTAAAGCCTAAGGATTGAATCAGATATTACACAGATAATACTTGTTCCGCCAAAATACACCAACCAGTGACAACTGCAAACCCAGTTTATATCAGTGTTTCGTTAGTCGTTCAACAATGGTATTAGAAAGTGAATGAGTTTTGTATTATAACAGATCTCAGCGCATCGTACGGGCGGAAATACTGCAGTTCTCATACCGCATGGCCAGACATCAGATAGAAATAAAACCATGGATGAATATAGGATCATTGTATGAATAAAGCATCAGTATTGAGGACCTAGGTTGGAAAAATATACCTGCTCGAGTCTCTCTAGATTGCGACAACTACGCCTCCATGTCTGCTCACTTGGTACCCCCGGAGGTATCCACATCTTGATACGTCGGTTCCAAGACTCCAAGACAAAGTCTCCCCCCTCTCCATTGCTCTTGTGTCTGGACTGTGAAACTACTTCACATTCTTGTATGTGTTTCAATACCTCTGGAGGTGCTAAACATCGCAGAGTCTCGTCTCGGAACATTATCTGTTGATATGTTGTGTTGTTCATGCCATAAAACAGATTACTCATTACATGTTTGGATGCCAATATGAGAGCAGGGTTGTTTCGGCGCACTGCTGACCGGAATATGAACAATGGGATCACAAATTTCAACAAGACATTCCATAAGAACTTGTGATTTGGATTGTTCGTGTCTTTCATGTTCTCCAGGAAGGTAGATGCATTCAGATGTGAGGTATTGTGTACATCTTGACGAATGACGGGAGTAATGAACTCATCTAAACTTCCAAAAAGAAAGATCATGATGAACTGCCATGATTTATGATGGTTTGTGCATGCTTCAGCAAACTTTAAAGCATTTGGTGATTGGAACCACTCAAAATGGCTTTATGTTTGAGAAATGGCTTCCACAGCAGTCTGAATAATGCCTTTACCATATTCATTTCTAAATTGCCCAGGCCAGGAACCACGCACAAGTTTGGGAATTTAAAACACTTTTCAAATTCAATTGTCTGGTTGCAATGCACGTGTTGAACATGATTAAGAAGTTGGTGCTTCCCCCCCCTGAACTCCATTTGACAGACTGGGCAAATCATCCATTTGCCGATAATGTTCGCCACAATGTTGTATGGTGACCCATCACAGCCAACGGTAACCCACTCCCTGTCCTTTCCCAATCCTGTCTGATTTTGAATGCATGTTAACACCTCTTCGACACTTTGGTAACCATTGGGGTTTACCATCACGGGATCGCCTATGTGCATCCACAGGATCTCCAATCTCCAATCTTTGTTCTAATTTGATAGCATCTATTCTTGTTTGTAGGAAATCGTGTATGACATTGTCCAATAATTTTACACAATTTGTAGAATATTGGTCAAGTAAGGGTCCAAGTTTATCCTCAGTGTCAACGGTGTGCAACCAAAGGAATGGGGAGAATGACAGTTGAGTTTGTATCGAACAAGTAGGGTTGCGGATGTAAATGACATTTGTTGTGACACTACATTTCGTTTTGTAATTGAGGGAAACATTCCAGTTTCTTTCCACCTTTTGGTTATTATCAAAAAAATACCATGACAGAGCCTTCTGTTGGACATGTATTTGGACTACAAATGTTGTCTAACCAATTGGCATTGGTTGTGTAAGATCCGGAAGGTGAGACATGATTATTCAAAGTGGTGGCACTTTTACTTCCTGTCAGAAAATATTGTAGTATGTTAATGGTAAATGCCAATGGTGCTATTAGTTCCCACACGACAGGTAGCACAGATTTTCAATAATTCTGGCCATCAGAATGTTTTTTTTCCTATTCTGGGGGTCACTCTCATCGTCAGTGTGATGGTTCGACATCGTGCAAAGCAAAGTCATTAAATGTCTGTTCCTATTTTGAAGCCATTTTTTGACAATCAAGTTTGTGAAAGAAATCCTTGTCTTTATACTCATTGCGCATTTGGTCAGTTTCTGTGTTGATGCAGGCATGTAGAGATGAACCAATAGCTGAGATTAAATCATGGAAATCGTCGTCGGAAACCCTTGAATTTTCTATGGCATTTATCACTTCTTTTACAGAAGGATTTTGTGTTTCTTTTGAGAGATTGTCTTTTGCATGATTTGCACAGCCAGTACATATATAAGTACTATCATGTGTCAAATCTCCAGTTGCCTTTAAACAATCTATGATAGATTTCGGATGAACTCGTGATGAAATCTTTGACATGTCATGTGAACGACAGCTGCAGTTATCAATTTTTCTCTTGGCATGTTGATGTTTGTTGAATACGTTTGTTACATCTGCAAAATCAGCAAAATACAGAATAAGTCATAACGTGACAGTTCATGAATTTCATATGCTCACATTATCTTAATCCTTCACCAAATTTTACTGTTATTAATGGGAATATAATGTATGCTTGGCAGCACATAACATTGTCAAGTACATTTTCTATGGAATAACTTACTTATTTGTTGTGTGCACTTGTGTTTGTGGTCTATGACATGTAAGTCATGTGTGAGCAGCAATGACATGTGTCAGTACTGGTTTGCTTGGTGATTTTTCAGCTTCAGAACCTCTGTCGGTGTCATTGTTACATTGTGAAGTGTTTTTTAGCATAAAATCATCAATGTCATTGCAAGAGTTATGTCCCTTGGCGAAAATGGACTATGTCCCTTTTGCCCTCCGTAGATTTGTGTACTTTGAGTGATGACGTGCAGTCAGTAGCCGCCATTACTGGATAGCAACGAGGACGACGCATGGTGAGGTACGTGGTGTGTTGCAGGGGATGAGGGCGATGTTTGTGTTGAAAATGTTTGCTGTATTGTCAATACTGCTGGAACTAGGGCCATTTTTGATTCAGAATGTTGTGATAGTGGTCGTGTTTACCGATAGCGTAGCGCTGATGGAGGCAATGTGGGACTGTTGATGCATGCGGTATGGTTACAAGGAATACCGTACTAAGCAAAAATAACCTCACCATACTGCGACGTTCCGTGTGAGCGCCGCGGATGGTGAGATTGCCGTTTTTATGGGCTCGATAGGGCGCGTTTATTCACTTAGTTGGGGTGTAATACCCAGGATGGGTCCATATACACTAGATAGGGGGTATCCCCAACCTGGTAAGTCCTGGTTACCAGCTATCGATCATAGGCAGCCCATCTCTGACTCTTTACCCTATTCAGCGTACTTATCCCCCAGTTCAGGTACAAACCCTGAGAGCGACCATCGATATGCTGCGAGCCACCAACAATTTAGGTCTGTCACCAATCAACCCCGGGTTTTATTCACCAATCTTTCTGGTCCCGAAGAAGAAGTCAGACAAACTCAGGTTGATTTTTAACATGAAGCTATTCAACGCTTAGTTTCTGGAACGCCCGCCCCACTTCCGGATGGTGTCTGTCAATCTTCAGCGCACTATCCTGAAGAAAGGAAATTTTCTAATCAGTTTTGGCAGCATGCTTTAATTATGTTATAAGCCGTGTAACACAAATTCTGCCAAGTAGTTTTTCTAGTTGATTCTAGCAGATGTTTCGGTATGTTCCTTGTTGGGTTTTGTAAATAGAATGGTTCTGTATATGTCTTCCTCAGTTCAATATATGATGGGCACTTTTCATGGCACATGGAGCTCGTCTTCGAAAACATGAATGTTATTTTTCCTGCACCTCTTGCATACTCTTTCTTCCCTCGGAATATTGTTGGTGGCCTTGTTTCTATTTGAAAGTTGGAACACCTGAATGTAGCTAATATTCTGCGTAGATGAAGGGGCAAATCAAGTGTCACATATGTTTTGACGTTTAGCATAGATTTGAATGTATGTAGGTTGAACACCTATTGTTCGAAGTGCCAGTCAAAGTATCGTTTAGTCATTTAAAATTTGGTACGATGATATTTCACCTTCTCTCAGTGCTGAACAAAATCCATGTGACACTGTTGGACAGGACCACGGACCAGCTGCTGGACAGTTATTCAGTCCACTGTGAAGACCTTGATACTGATAATTAAATTCAGTGAATGATTACACAATGCCATTTAGAAAGTGGTAACGTGTTATATTTGGGATTACACTTTGTTAGTAAAGTACAAATTCTAGTACTTTTTGAGGGTGTGAGTTCAAATCCCGGATGGGGCTCAATACTAGAATTTGTATTTTACTAAGAAAGTGTAATCCCAAATATAACACATGTTAAATTCAGTGAAGGTACTGGTAGAATCAAGCAGTAATGATGCCATGGGCTAGATGCCATGGCACAGTTGCTTGAAACATTGTTAAACAAATTTTGAATTTTCAAATAATCTGCTTTATACGATATGCACATTGTGAATGTATAAATTCTCAGGTCACCAGTTGTGCAAAAACTCTTATCAATATAATTATTGTCAAACATTATAGGATATGATAATAATCATGAATCTAAAGTTTGAATTTGCTTCAAGAGAAAATGCGTTTTTAAACTGTTTCGTATTTTTTTTCTGCACAGGTTCGGATGGGAAGCCAGATGGTCATAATCTAGATCCGGGAGTAACAACGAACGATGTTCGAATGACCAACAAGAGTAAAGACTGCCATTTGTTTGCTTCTGACTTCTGTGGCGGACAGGATTGATGCTTTGGAATTGCCAAACCAAGCTCCTCAGAAAGAGATGAAATCAGAGTTTGCAGATGATTTCCTGCCTACTTGGAAAATTTGAAGATCGTGCTGGCAAGGAAATTGGTAGAGAATTTAAGCTCATTCAGCTGGATGAAAAGCCTCATTCAACACCATGTACTACACGATAGACAAGTCGAGATATCAAAGGCGTCCTGTTGCCAATTATATTGAAAAAAAGCATCATACTCTGACTGTATCTACATAATGGACGCCTATGTCAAGTACATCAATCAGTGGTATGCCAGAGCAGTCAGAGGTAGAACAATCAAATTTGTGGGATTACGTAAATCATTGTCATTTTTTATATTAGATATTAAATATTACCAAATTCATTTTCATAAGCTTACACATAATAGTTAATAAGTGTTTCATGATTTTACTTTGATATGTATCTAAGCATTATTAATGTATTTTAGGCTAAGAGTTTGAAAGACTACGAGTTCCTCTTGGTGGCGACCGGCTGTCAAGAGAAAGACTCCAGTGAGTAAAAACCTTGGAGGAAGAGACACACTCTGTGCAGTCGAGATTTGATCAGCTCGAACCAGTCATTGTGGAAATGTTCCACACCCTTCAAGATTTCCTTGAGGTAGGGATAATATTGTCACAAATACATAGCCGTTATTCTTAAATAGCTAAATATTATGGGGGTTAATGGGAATGCCGTGCAAGGAAACATCCAAATACTTGTGAATTTAATTGAGCCTGGAACATTCTTATAATGTACTTGCTGCATAGACATAGACAAATAGCTTCTAAATTAACATTTTAAAACAATGTCAACGATACCAAATGAGTGTGCCTTGTATGAATCACTCCATAACATTTCACGTTTATGAATTTTTTGTTGCAATTATTTGCAGAAATTGTGCAAAACGTTCTCAAGCTTGTCACGGGAATGGACAAGGACACACTTGGGCATTTGAAATTAGTCATTCAAAGATCAAATTTTAATGGCAAAGTCAAGGTGCGGTTTAAGGTATTTCTTTTTGATTACTGACATATAATTTTGCAATGTAGCAAAAGAATGACCATAGTCAAAACTGTTATTGATAACACGGTATTCGGCACCCACAATATCAATTTGCTGAATTGTCAGTTCATATTATGCATGAACATGAACGCTAAACCGTATGCTTTCCAGGGACATGAACATTTTGTGGATGTGTTATAAGGATGTGTTTTTGTTAATTATGTCACATTAATTAACTTTTGTTTATTATGGGTCGCAAAAGTTGAAAGCACTGAATGTGGATTTGAACTCACAACTTGAACTTAGGCTATTATCTTCACTTGTTAAGAGTAAGCTGAGGAGTTACCTTCCTTTGTTTTTTATTCCGGTGTCTTCGGTGGGATTCTGGAAGCTCTGAGAAGGTCGTGTGGCATAGCGTTTGTCAGAACACTCTAAAACTGTGCAGTAGGTAAATAAAGAGATGCATGACACAACATTGGATTTACGCTCATCTGTCTGCTAACATTGACATTTCAAGACCGACCAATCAAGAGGCCTAGTCTACATTGAACTTTCATGCTGCCGACATGTGTCGTGCATGTTCAACTGACCTTGTTTTTTATTCGATATGTAATTGATTTTTATAGATTGGTTTGTGTTTTATTTTGCTGGTTTAAAGGAACTCACAAGCCTTTAATCACAGTAATTTCAAAACCGTACTAGATGTCGTTGGCACATCATACTTGCTTCAACTGACCAGTCACATGTTTGGACGATGAAGTGAAACATCCAGATATCCCATCAAATGTGAATTTGTGGCACAAGAAGAAGAGTTCAACAGAATAACATTTTGATACAACGTTCATTCCACCATTGGATAAGAAAGTTTTTTTCATAATGTGCAAGCATATTATGTATATGTGTAGGAAAATGTTTTTTTTAGAAGTGTTATTTATCATGTTATCGGGCGTCAGGTTCGTAATGTAAACTTAGTGGGAAGTTTGACGTGTAAATTACCTTACATAAGTGATTTCTGCTTGTAGTTGATAAAATTCCACTTGTTACTTTCGTTTAGGCAGTAAAATTCCGTTGGAAATGTCCTTTCCCGGTCGGTTTATGGTCATGGTATGCGCTGCCATGGGTGATGGGTGATAAGGTAGCTACTTGTCCAGGGTTAAAGGTTAGCGCACGGGGTATATAAGGGCCTGTAACACTCTCAGAGGTAGCTTGCTTCAGGATACCCTCACCGTTAACTTAGCCGGGAGGTCTTCCTCCTTTCTTTAGTCATTGTGTCTTTTTGTTATGTAGAATCTAGGATAGGAGAATGATTAGCGGGTTGGGGGAAACGATAGGCTTAGAGTAGGCTTTATTTTGTAGGAATTTATTAGTTAGGACTGTCTTTTGGGGTTAAGCAGATTACCAGGTGTGTGTGAGGAAGGCTTGTATTTATCCTGTTAAGTTTGGCTCAGTTTATATTTGTTAACAGTGAGTTAATATTTAACGTCACATCGGCAATATCTCAGCCATATCGTGACAAAAACAATCTATACATAGAGAATACTACACGAGGTCTCATTACATACGAATTATACGAAACGAGTGTCCTTCCTATGGTATCTGACCGAGCGAAAGCGAGGTCAGATAACATAGGAAGGTCACGAGTTTCGTATAATTCGTATGTAATGAGACCGAGTGTGGTATTTTATTTATTACCCACGTCTTACATGCATTTAAATTGACGAAATAGCGTATTTTTGTTATGTTTTTGGTTTCAAACCGAAACCGGTTTCATAAAGAGGTTGCGGAAGAGTTTTGTACTGTAGTACAATATTTGCATGACGTCACAGTAATGACGTCACTGCCATGGTAACCGACGTCACGATGCATGTCAGTTGTCATCGCCTCGTACAGCCTCCTACAGTAAACTACTCCGTTGCACCTCGTTTCTTGGTTTCCAGTTGCTTCATTCGGCTAACATCACTGGTGGAAACATTGCGTTTATGTTTTTCGACGGATATAATGTCTCAGTTCGACTCACAATTAAACAGCGACACGACAACGTTCGCAATGTTTACATTCCCACAATGCATTTAAGTTGTAGAATGAATGAATTCACGTGTTTGTTATGAATGAAAAAATAGTTACGTCAGAATGTGACCTAATTGAGAGGTGATCGGTTATCCAATCAAATCGTTAGAATTTCAGGTCAAGTCGTTACGACACAGGTCAACGCGATACGACACTCGTGTGACGTACGAGATTAATATGCAACTACCCATACGTTGACCACGTGGGTAATAAAATATAATATGATATATGTCAGACGAGTTTGAATCTGGAAAAATGGGTTCAAATATAACAACTATCGAAATCATACTTGTAATAGACAAACTTTTGTACAACCTGTCTTTCAAGTAATAGATCGTTGATAACATTCTGGTGAATTGGGGTACACCCAGTCAAGTAATCTTGATTCAAAAGCCAATGATATGGTTGGATATCCAACTTGGTTCTAATACATACGTCATATACATGCTTATATTAACATGACACACAATAATCATACATGTACTACAGCTGATGAGTATCAAGTTTAATGATTATGATTTTGAAACAAAAATATCTCTAGATATATTTTTTGACACAATAAGGGTTTATTCTGATTGTCTTAAAGTCTAAAACCCGAGTGAGTGAGTTTTACTCCGCAATATTCCAGCTATATGGCGGTGGTCTGTAAATGATCCAGTCTGGACCAGACGATCCAATGATCAACAGAATGTGCATGAGTGGGTCTTGATTGGTCTCAGTGTGTATATTGGAAAACTTGGTGCGTGTCCTTCATGAACCCTGTTGCTGGTACATTTCATGCATTATAAAGTTGTGTACGATTTTAACGAGATTATAGGTTTATAAGATGGAATGAGAGTGTTTTGTTTGTCATTGTCATAAGCTATGTCTAAAATACTGACCGACTGAGTTTGGTTTTACGCCGCTTTTACCAATATTCCAGCTACATCACGGCGGGGGGACATCAGAAATGGGCTTCACACATTGTACCCATGTGGGGATTCGAACCCCGGTCTTCGGCGTGACGAGCCAGCGATTTAACCAGTAGGCTACCTCACCCGCCCCCTATGTCTAAAAGAAAGCTGACGATTGCGATTGTTATATAGAACCTAACAAAGTTAAAGTGAAGGTTCCAGATCACAGTTCCTCCTCGTCGTCACCACTGAATTACTTAATCGATTCTAATTCTGATAGAGAATTACCGGAAAATATTGAGTGTGTGAATCATAATGCCTCGTTATTCCCCCACCTCGACACTAACGACAGTGTCATTTATCCAGACAGTTCTACACCAACACCTGGACCCAGTACGAGGAAAACTGTCGGATTGAATTTCTTTACTCTGTGTACTAAAAGTTCCACTGAGGACTACGCCAGAAATTTCTTTCAGGATTACTCCTTACTAGCCAAGAAAAGCAGGTGCAGACTTGCAAGGCAGATCTCAGTAAGCTACAAAGTTGGAAATCGAAAATTCATCGATTCCCACAATTTCGATTTCAGGGGAATAGAAGAAATGTAAACAGTCCAATAAAAACACTGTTCCTCTCAGAAAGGTGAGTGAATGAGTTAATATTTAACATCGGCAATATTTCAGCCATATCCTGACGAGAACAGATTTGACATTGAAATGGAATATATATATGCTATAAAAACCTGTCGACAAAGGGCAGTAAAACAACTAGAACATCACAATTAGAATTAAAACTAGTGTGGAAAGTTAAAACTAATAGCACTATTATGACAATACAAGATAAAAACGGGCTATTGATCGCCATCAACTGAAGGTAAATCACAATACTAGGAACCATGGGGACTTACAGTACCTTTGCTACCTGCATGGACCCTAGTTGGATTTACACCATCCCATCAGCCGCTGGCGATTGTAGAAAAGTTTAGCCGAATTTTAAAGGAACAAATATACCACGTTCAAAAACCGGGTAAGCAAAAATTTAACTTTGAAAGTTTTGGGACTTACGTACCCTCTCAGGAGGACAATAATTTTACGATACTTTAACCCCCTTCGAGGATACAGCCACTAACAATCGCAGTTGCTAATTTATACTACCATCTTTAAAATGCTATTTATCTATTTACAAGTCATTTAACAAATCTTATTGTTTTACAAATGCAATAATTAAATGAGAACTGACATTATTAAAAAGATCCTTCATAGTTCGTGATTTGAAATAGATATCCCTTGTGATGGAATATTCAACACAGTCAGGCAGGACATGCTTGACCGTGATTCCTCTCAAAATGGAACGTGGTTCGATGGAAGCATCATTTCCTTGAGGAAAGCACTCCTTCTAAGTTATCGCTTTGCCCAAATAATATCTTATGAACTAACTGCAAGTGGAACCTCCATTCCCCACGAGGTAGATGGAGGTAGTGAGATAACATCAACAGGAACAATCTGCGATTACTTTAAGTACATC